TCAGTTTCGAATGTGGGGTTTTTCCAGGGATTCAGTAATGTTCACTAGCCTGGGTCCCTTTTGGACAAGAGCGGACGGAATTTTTATTTTTTGGTTAACTGACAATTACTTAAATTGGAAATGTAATTTGGAGGAATCCAGACCAAAGGCCTTAGTTTTGACGAATTTATATCGAAAGGGTTGCAGTACAACTTGTAACTTTGGAACCATCTCAGCATTTGCTTGGAAACAGAGAAAAGCCAAGTACATTTGTGTCCAATTGACCAGAAAGGGTGAGGGGGGGGTGGAGCAGGAGTTGTCTGCAGTCTAGCTGCAGTTATCGCTACAACTGGCATTAGACGTCAGCACTAGGACTAATATGAATAGCGTCTTCTGTTTTTCTGCCAATCAGAAGGCGCGAGCAATATTAGTTATTTGTATTACATTGGTATACTCTTCTGGCATAGCACATCACGTGTCTTATAGACCTAAATGTACAAATTCTGTCTTCTGTCACGTTGGTTTATGTATTTATTTATTTGTCTTTATCCTTCTTTTTCCCCTTATTCTTTCTTCAACGTCCGCATGCTTTTCATTTCTTTTTGATTCTCTAGGGTATACGGACCCGAGAAAGACTGCACTGGCGAGGACCAGCAGCGTGTATAAAAGACAGACCCGCCCTATCGCTAGAGAGGGCGCCCCACAAAAATAAGACCGTAAATGTCAAACAGTAATAAATATTTGGTCATGAGCCCCAGATGGGGCTCGATACCAAGACTTACTGACTGACTGACCGTCAGTTGTTTTGTGACTTTGACTCTTACCATATTCAGTTCGTACCTCACGGAAAACACATTACGTCTCCGCTACAGAGACCAACCGGTTAATGCTGTTTGGGGAAACAGTCGCTGTTTATTGTGAGAACCATACGGAACACATATATACACTGTGTGGGCGGAATGCAGAGACTTATATATAAGAATTCAGTCCGTACCTCACAGGAAACATTACGTCTCCACCACAGAGACCAACCGGTTAATACTGTTTATTGTGAGAACCATAAGGAACACATAAATACACTGTGTGGGCGGAATGCAGAGACTTTATATATAAGAATTCAGTCCGTACCTCACAGGAAACACATTACGTCTCAGCTACAGAGACCAACCGGTTAATGCTGTTTGTGGAAACAGTCGCTGTTTATTGTGAGAACCATGTGGAACACACATATACATGTGTTGGCAGAACGCAGAGACTTTATATATAAGAATTCAGTTCGTACCTCACAGGAAACGTATTACGTCCATCTTCAGGTGATATGTTCCTCCGAAACGACGGCTAACAAAATATCTACACGGCGCCACATCCCAGAAGACGGCATTCTTCATAGATTAATATTTTAAACCATTTCATTAGTGGAATTCGGTCACGGGCCGCGGTTTTCATTCCTCTGACTTAGCTCAGCCCTCGAGGCTCTGTCAAGACAGGGCATTCAATTGTGATTGGAGTTAGGAGCCGGGGAATGCGGCCAGACGCGCTGGTCAGAGAGACGAGGCCCTGATGCGAGTATCACGTATCGACTTAAGTAAACACCTCTCCATCATCTTGCATAAACAAATCTTCTGTGCATTGTTTCCCAGTTCCCATAGCGACGCAGCTGACTTGCTGTGTTGCGCACCTGACCATCTGTCCTCTATAAATCAGACTTGGTGAATGTGAAATGCATGACCCGCGCATGAATAACAAATGCACCGCCAACTTTAATTTGAATGTCATCATCTACAATCGATAAGTCTACGTTTATTAAATTATTCGTCTACCTATGCGTCTAGTGGTCAGAGTTCCTGGCTACAAATCCAGAGGTCCCGGGTTCGATTCCCAGAGCTACCAGATTTTCTGAGAAGTAGTGGGTCTTCAACGCGATCCATTCAGCCTCGTGTGGATAACTGAGGAGCTACTTCAAGGAAATAGCGGCTCCGGTCTAGAAAACCGAAATTAACGGCCGTCGGGATCCGTTGCGCTGACCACGCGACACCCTCTATCCGCTAAAGTTGGCACGCCGACAAGCGGCGTTCGCTCGGTCGGTATAATTCGCTTGCGGACTGAAACCACGGATTTTATTTTTGTTTGTCTGTTTCGTCTACTATCATAAATTCCCGATAGGGTCAAGAATTCTCTCTTCTCCATGTCGTCCAGACCGGCTCTGAGGCCCATCCAATGGGTAGCGGGTGTTCGTTCCCCAGGGGTAAATTGGCCGGGGAGTGAAGCTGACTACTCACCTCCAACTAGAGCCGAGGTCAAGAAAATGTGGGTCTATACATCCACTCCTCGCTCCGCCCTCATCACGTGCTTAATTACGTAGTTTAGCACAGGGACAACTTCTTTTTTCCTTGGCACTACAGCCCCAGTGGGCCTAGGGCTACCTCCTTGAACTTCTCCGTTCACTTCGGTTTTTCTAGATCTTATACATTCGGTAGGACTCCTTGGGCGGGTGATCAGCTCGTCGCAAGGCCTCTACCTGTACACAAACACAGAAAACGCGCGAACACACACAAACTAAACATCCATGCCCTGAGTGGGATTCGAACCCACAATCCCGGTTTCCAAGCGAACGAAGACAGTTCATGCCTTAGACCGCTCGGCTACCGTGACCGGCCGATTATCCGTTTACTCGCATAAATTCAACTTAATGATTATGTCGGCTCCCCATGTGGAGGCGAGTTAGAGTGCCTCCACCATAGCCATGCCTGGGGGTATAACTGGGCCACCCGGTCACTGGGGGACATAAATACAGGGACCTGGTCCTCCAGGTTGGGGGTTGGACGCAAGGCTGAGGACCTTGCTCTGTGAAAGAACTAGTGTCGCGAAATCCAGAGAAGTGAAACCCAGCTACAATCTGGCAGAATCTTCTGAGGAAGGGTATGGCTCGAAAAAGGGCCGTTTTGCCAGTGATGACTATGAATTATTTCGATGCTACATGCTCTGAACACTGACAGAATCATTAAATAATGAAATTAAAAGCATTATTTTTGCTACCAAGGCAAACAGATAAATGGGTTTAATGGCTCAGAATTCAGCACACCCGAAAGTGTGACGTGATGCAATTTCCTCTTATGTTACCACAGTAATCTTATTGCCTGGTGTAACTGATTTATGTGTGTGTGACTATAGACGGGGTAAAGGTAAAGTTGTCCCTGTACTGAAGTAATTAAGCACTACGCCATGAAGGCGTATGGGGAAGTAGATGTATAGACCCACGTTTTCTTGACCTCGGCACTAGTTGGAAGTGAGTGGTCAGGTTCAGGCACCGGCCGCCTTAGTCACGGGGAAAGAGCCCCCGGTACTCATTGGATAAGCGGCTGAGTGGACCCCAGACTAGGTCTGAACAACACGTAGAAGTGAAAATTCTTGACTCCACCGGGACTTGAACTGCAACCCCTCGGTCGTCCACCCAATAGCTAGTCGCTATGCCGACTACGCTATCCCGGCTCACCTATAGACGGGCTATCGATTGGATATTGGGTTTACTGACACGACCAGGAACTACAATTAATTACAGCGCTATCGCTGATCTCCACACTTTACAGTTCACTGTTACACACACTAATCTTCTTAGTCTTCTGTAGTCTTATCTTGGCAACGGATTTTAACACAGTAATTACAACAGTCTCGCTGTAACTACAGATCACATCAAGTCTTCTTTTCACAGCCTCACACGTGCAACTAACTCTTATCTTCACAATAAACTGTAAACTTCAAACTCTCTTTCAATTAGCAATTCGGCTGACCTGGGGTCCTTGTTATGTAGTCCCGGGGCGTGCCCAATAAAACCCACCGCTTTCAACAGTTCCTATAGTGTTGTTATGGGCTGTTACATAGCGACAGCCCGGATATTGTTGTCGTGTTTACCTGCCGTTACCACGCAACGGCTATTGTCTCGTTGATTGTTTCGAGGTCTTTGCCTAGCAACGGATCTATACGCTAGCGTATATTTTAGAGTGAAATATAGGGTAATTTATAAATCCCTCGCTAAAGCCCGACAATAATTTAGAATCACTTTGTACACCAAATGTACAGCTACAAGGGTGCTGTGATTCTAAATTATTGTCGGGGTTTCCAAATGGACTTAAGAATTACCATCTATGTAATTTATAAAGAAACTACTGTACCACCCTCTCAGAATTCCATGAGAAGTCTCCTTATTTTCTTACATAAGCTCTCGTACAAATTTCTCCAGCCCTATACATGTTATGGAATGATACGTCGAGGCCGATGGTTATCGCCATCTCCCACGAATATCACGCACAAATAATCGATCGTAAGCCTTCTTTTTTATAATATACTACACCTCATGTATCCGGATCAAAATATTATCAGTACTCACAAATTAGACGCGATATACTGAAACAGAAGACTGCTCGTTCGGTCGTGACCTAGTACATGACTTACATTCAAGTAAAGTGTTAACATTATACAACTTCGATAACCATCGATAGATCGAAACATGTCGAGCTGAATAAAGTTACAAATCCGCGTAGCGTATTTAAAACATCTCTGAGCGTGCGCCGTAACTTGAGCAGGAAACTGTACGGAGAAAGGCCCTTAGTGGTCAATCAGATTTCCAGTTATGATGATCTTTGTTTCCGTTATATATTGATGACATAATCTATAATAAAATTTTCATTTTCAGGACAATATCCACAGTTCTGTTTTTTATTTATTTTTAAGAAGAACGTTTCGGAGACTTGTCTGTCTCCGTTCTCAGGAAAAATGCCTATAAAGTTGGGCATGATCAACAGGACTTCTTGTTAGTTCTCGTGTCCCAACTGAGTAGATATTTTACCTGAAGACGGAGACAGAATCCAGTTATTTAAAAAAAATAATTTAAATAAATGAAAACGGGATGACGATGTCCAAAAAAGTCTGTAATCATCGTCAAGAACTTTTATATGAGGATCAAGTACATTTCTAACGATGACGTCACCTCAGAGATGTTTCAGAGAGAGACTGGCAGTACTCACTTGGCGTAGTCCGTCTTGCAGTATACGCTGTCGTCGCGGATGAAGCAGGAAGGCTGTCGGTCCAGGGAGAGCTGGCAGACGCAGCACCGCAAACAGTGCGAGTGCCAGGAGCGTCCGTTCACTTGCAGCAGGTACTTGTCTGTGATTGGTTCGGAGCACGCCGCGCACAGCCTGTGCTCCGTCTGCGCACACCACAGTGCAAAGTTAGAGCTCTGTCCTATTGCCTACACAGGGTCAGCATACAGCCCGTTGATGTTCCAAACTGTAGAGAAGGCAGCTTTATCTGAGGGTGTTTGAGAACAGGGTGTTGAGGAGAATATTTCGACCGAAGAGAGATGAAGTGACAGGAGGTTGGAGGAAACTGCATAATGAGGAGCTTCATAACTTGTACTCTTCTCCAAGTATAATTAGAACGATCAAGTCAAGGAGGATGAGGTGGGCAGAGCATGTAGCACGAATGGGAAGAAGCTGAATGCGTATAGGACATTGGTGGGAAAGCTAGAAGGAAGGAGACAACTGGGTAGACCAAGGCATAGGTGGTTGGACAATATTAACATGGATCTTAGAGATATAGGATGGGATGATATGGATTGGATTGATCTGGCTCTTGTGAACATGGTAATGAACTTTAGGGTTCCATAAAATTCTGGGAAGTTCTTGAGTAGCTGCGCAACTGGCGGCTTCTCAAGAAGGGCTCAGCTCCATGAATGGGTCAGACAGTTTCATCTTCCACGTTCATATCAACCTAAAATTTGGTTAAAAGTGTGCAGGTTATGAAACACATGAAGACTACTATCATCATGGATGTGACGCCGTGCCGTCTGGTACAAGTTTACTGACATTTTGAATGAATATACTCCACTGATTTTCAGGTGTGGGTCGAAGAGTGAGCAAAGCAAGAAATTACCGACGAGAAGGCGCCAGACAGAGTTCTGCTAGCTTCTTCGACGTTGTATGTAAATTTATACCAGACTACGCGGCGTCACATTCCACAACATAGTGTTTTTGTTCGATACCTACGTAAGAACACCAAATGCAACGTGACGTCAGTGTTTTCCAAGCACAGGAGAGGATTACCGTACGTTTCTAACGTCTCACATTTGTAGCACCAGAAAGTACAGCCATCTCGATATGTAGATATAGGTATTTACACTTTTCCAGCCCCTGAATAAGAAGAAATGGTTTCTGGAATGCTCTGTGTGGGACAATGTGGATGTCTGCCTCCATCGCTAGCTCTCCGATTGGTTGGAGAGAACTTATTCATATTCAGTATCTAATAGTTTATGCTTAACAGTTTGTCATTTGAGAGCAACGGTTGTTTGAAGTGAGAAGCTGGTAGCTGGGGCAGGGGAGAGTTCGGGAACCCAGAGGCAGGGGAACGTCCGCCGTTGGAAGACGCTACCAAGCAACGACTAGTGAAGACTTAGACTTTATATATACGAGTACCGTAGTATGTAACTGAATGATTTTGTCGTAGTTATTTGTAGTTAAATGCTGTAAGTGTTCAATAATTTCAATTACCACTCCAAACCCCATCCTTAGTCATTCAATCACGTGACGAAATTGATCCTTCACAGAGACCATCAAAACGATAAAAATGTGATTTTCTCTAAAACAGCACAGGAGATTTTGAGTAAATTTCACTAGTTTGTCGAGACAATTTCCCTAACCAAATCTACACACTTTGCATCATCGGGAACATAACGGTGTGCCCTCTGGAGGCCCAAAGGCTTGTGTGAGAACGTGCCCACATTGTCCATACATCGATTTGTTTCTCTTGTGGTCCTGTCCCGCTGGATCGTCAAATCGTGTCTGCTTGGGGGTGAACAGACTCCCCTAGAAGCCACATACAGTCTTAATTAATTGGCGAGAGAATTACTGATTTAATTACCCTCTCATTGTTACGCCCAGCTTGGGAGGGTGCCTCTCAAGTGCTGGATTCATCTTCCTTACGTCATACTTTGGGTCAGAGCGTGAAGAGGTAATTCATTTTATTGCCACTAGAGGGATCCCGAACAAAACGTCCTGTACATTTTGAGGAGCTCCTTGTTTTTACTTAACCGCAGAGTCACCCCCTCCATGATCACGTTTCATGTAGGAAATCATGTCAATACGTTTAGGAGAAAAAAAACTCCGTGGTTTTAGTCCGCAAGCGAACTATACCGACCGAGCGACCACCGCTTGTCGGCGAAGTTAGTGCCGACTTTAGCGGATAGATGGTGTCACGTGGTCAGCGCAACGAATCCCCACGGCCGTTAATCTCGGTTTTCTAGACCGGAGCCGCTATTTCCTTGAAATAGCACCTCAGTTATAATCATGAGGCTGAGTGGGCGCCGTTCCAGACCCACTACTTCTCAGAAAGAATCTGCTAACGCCGTGAATCGAACTCGGACCTCTGGATATGCAGCCAGAAACTCTGACCACTAGACCACAGAGGCGATCAGATTTAGGAGAAACCCATCCAAGTTCGTGACCTCACATACCTCAAATATTTATGAGGTTGCGTTGTAATCAGAGAGCGATGTACATCATCAAATCATCATCATGAAATTACTACATTCTATTCCAACACATCATGAGACCCAAAACAGCCATACAGGAGATCTCGTTAAACACATATAGGGACTTTACATCTGCAATATTGTCTGTTCATGCTGTGACGTAGCTTCAGAAATGCTTTAGACACGCTATCTCATTTCGTGATAAGTCCTCTTAAATCCTGCAAGAAATCAGTTAGACCCAATGTGATCCAGTTCTCCATAGACAGCTCTACAAATTCAGACGTCTGTTGACAATTTTTAATACTCTGAACCACATATTTAATTTTTATTTGCATTGTATTCATTGTGTGTAGTGTGTTCTTTTTTTGTGTAGTTTTCTGTGCTGTGTTTTGTTTGAGCATGGTGCGTTATTTTGTGTGATGTGTGTTGTGTCTTATTGTAGTTTTATATGCTGTGTTTGTTTGAGCATGGTGTATTATTTTGTGTGATGTGTGTTGTTTTTGTGTTGTCTTATTGTAATTTTATATGCTGTATTTATTTGAGCATGGTGTGTTGTTTGCGTGTTGTGTCTTGGTTTAGTTTTATATGCTGTGTTTGTTTGAGCATGGTGTGTTATTTTGTGTGATGTGTGATGTGTGTTGTTTGTGCGTTGTGTCTTATTGTAGTACCACTGCCACCGGATAAAAACCCATCTGCAGTTTAAAATAAATAATAAATAATAATGAATTTCATGTAGAAATGAAAAGTATCGAACCACAAAATAAGTTGTAACCGAGTAGGTTAGAGCAGCGGTAACGTTCTACATGTTCGGGAAGTGTTCGTTTGTAATTGCAAATAATAGCATTGTTTAGTTGCTGAATGCGCTTGAAATTAACAGGAGGCATATACGGACAGGCTGAACTCACGCCCAGCCCGTTTAAATCAACGGTAAACTGAAAATATTAATATAGGTTAACATAGGTATCATAATTTTCTTTTGGAGACTCGCTCCATGGAAAGCCAATACTTATTAGGAAAAGGAACCGCGTGCTCGTGACTTACTGGGTAACTTACGTGATACAGAGAGTTAAAGCTAGACAGGTCGTTGCTAGGTTACCGGTGCACGACGTCTGTAGGTTTCCCATTGGTTTTGAGGGCTGTGCAACTTCGTGGCTCAAAAGAAGGGAAGATCATAGACTCAAAGTGTTCGATAAGGGGATACTGAGAGTAATATCTGAACACAAGTGGGATAATGTGACAGAAATTTACTTAAATAATTCGGATCACAGCGGCCGAGTGGGACAAGGCAAGAACCACTTTTCATTTTCCAACATTTGGATCTTGGGTTCGAATCCCACTCGAGGAACGGCTGTATATCTGCGTTTTGTTCCTATGTTCGTGTTTTCTTTTTATGTAACGGCCTTGTGATATGGCTGATCCCCCGTCTAAGGAATCTTTCCAACGGAGCAGAATTCTGAATAACAACGTGTCAGAACGCCTAATACGTCAACGGAAAGAGAACGTTATGAAGTCGTGTAGGGGAGTGGAGATATAACTCCAGGTATTCTTAACTTGGGTACTGGTTGAAGGTGAGTTACCAGCTTCACGTCCCTGCAGTTTTACCCTTCAAGAAGGGCCTCTAGTACCCACAGGGTACGAGGCTTGGTGGGCTCTACGATAGGTCTCGACGCTGTGGAGAAACGAAATAATAATCTCACGGCTTCTTATTGGAATCGATCTCCCGGTTCCTAGGTCGTCCAGCCCATAGCCTTGACACTATACCGATTGAGCAATCCCGGCTCCATTCACAATGAAAAGCTTCATAATTTATATGGCCACTGAATTGAATTAGCATAATGAAATAAAGGATTACGAAATGGATGGGTCCTGCTGAATTACATAACTTATATATTTGAAAAGAGGTTCTCTGGCCGGTGACTATGAAATGTACGGTCTTTTGGTGTGTGACACGGTGTAGTTTCGAGAGATTTGCCTGCTTTCTAGGCTTCTTGTTTCCTTTACTCTTCGATTATGAAAATGGAGTCGGTGTGTTCCTCCGAAACGTCAATCTCTCTCCTAACTTCACTTTCCTACAACTCAACAAGACCGTACTCTCCAAACTATACCAACAGTCGTTTCTTATCACGGGATATGTTTTCTGTACGAACTCATCTTAAATACAGTCAGTAATTGATAGAGTGTTGTCACATTATGAGTCGATAGATTCTGGTCAGGAAATCAACAGACGTGTAACTACAACCCCCAAGTAAATTGTAGCTAATGAGGATTATCTTGTCGTCCCTAGTGACCTTACAAAGGGGTTGAAATCCTGTTATCGAGATACCAGGACCAATGAACAGCTTGCAATGGGCACCCAAAGTTACAGGGAGCAGTGAGCAGTAGGGTGGAAATTCTCTCCCCCCAACAGCAGATTTACCCTTCCT